TTACAAACAAAATAAATATATTGAAAAATATAAAAACCAAAAAATATACACTTTAGAAGTTGATCTGGTATCAAAAACGCAGGACAGCATGACACACAGTCCTCATAAAAACATCACACAAAAGTGCCATGCTGCCAGCTAAAACACACACACACCAAAAAAAAAAATATTGGAGTAGCCCAAGATATAGCCAAAGATTGCAGCACCACAGCACTAGCGAAAATTTAAATTTGCTAACTGAAATGCTTTCAGTTAACCGACGTTTCGGATAACCGGCTTTCGGATAAACGACTCTCTACTGTATTTAGATGTAATGAATAAATACAATGTACTTTTTTATAAATTTAGTTTATTCTCTGAACTGACAAAAAAGCTAACAATATGCAATATGAAACAATTTTATAAAATTAAGACTTTAAAACCGTTTAAATTATTTTCAGCTTTATCGACGTTTTTCAACAATGAAAAAAAACAACCTGACGATCGAAGTTGAATCGTTTTATTTCGAAAGAACCTTCACTGTTAATTCTTTCAGATATTTTTTTGGAAATTATTGGCATTATTCAATTTACATGTCCATCATCTACTTGACGACCATCATGATCCTTCAGCATCACATGAAAGGTCGACCTCCTTATAACTTGAAAGTGGCCTTTACGATTTGGAATGGGCTTCTGGCAATTTATAGCATCTGTAGCACTTTAAGAGGCATTCCAGTTCTGTACGAAGCATTTAAGCGATTAACTTTTTATGATATTGTATGCGATATAAGTTTGACAGAAAATACACCAGCGATCTTATTCTGGATAACAACATTTGTATTTTCTAAAGTTTGGGAATTAGGAGACACAATTTTCATAATATTAAATAAACGAAATTTGATGTTTCTTCACTGCTATCATCACGTAATGGCGATTATGTTAACATGGTATGCTTCATTCGAAGAGTCTTGTTTTCTACTGACATCTGTCTACATCAACACTTTTGTGCATTCGCTGATGTACAGTTATTTTACTTTAAAATGCATGAAAATAAAAATATCTTCAATAGTTGCTATGTTGATAACTGCTGTCCAAGTTATTCAAATGGTATTTGCAATTCTGCTAATATGTTGGATTTATTGGCTTCTTGCAAATGGACATACGTGCGATACATCATTGAACGCGTTAAATTTTAGTTTTCTTATATATCTGTCATATGTTTATTTGTTCACTGATTTGTTCTACAAGTCTTATATTCGAAGATATAAGACAAATAAAAAAACAAATTGAATATAATGTTGCATCATCATATGTAACAAACATGATATTGAAGTAACAAAAATTAATATATTTTCATAAATAATCGGATTTTTCACTAACAATTTTTAATGTATTACGTATGGAAAGAATAAAGTTTAATTAAAAATTTTTAAATTGCTTCTCTTAAATTTTAACGTATCACTGAGTGAATTTCTATGAACTCAGCAATTACGTTTACATCTTTCTTACTTATTCACTTCCAGATATCAATTGAATTTCTATATACAGTATCAAATAATTTTCAAGTACAAGTTTGCTGAATTTATATGCAAGTAGTAGGGGCTTGACACACACTGATCACAAAATAATTATTTTAAGAGAAATTTTAATCACAAATTTTAAATAAATCAATCGTATTTTAACAATTTAATTATCAAAACTTTTTAAAAATTAATTATATTTTTTAATTCACTTTATGAACTAATTTTTTTTTATTATGAATTATTTTATAGAAGATATAAGATTAGTCGGCTTTTGATATAAATATAGTTTTAAGTAACATTATAATTTATTTTTAATATCAAGATTGAAAGTTGCAATCATGGAGACGTATGGTTTTATTTTTACTTACGACGGCGATAGAAATTATTCTGTTTTTCCTCGTCTGTACAAGTCTTTGGATACATGTATTGTTGTGGTAAATAATTTTTCTTTCGATATTCCCGATAATTTTCCTATTGTTTTACGTTATTTTAAAGTTAACGATGAAATATGGAAAGGAGATGAGAAAATATGGTTTTATAATTGTCGACGAGGATGGAAGAATTAATCAAGTTAGTAATAAATTATATTATTCGTTCGAGGAATGTTCAGAAGTTATGAATGAAGTTTATACAGAAAAGAACTAAAAGAATATATTAATATGTAGAGAGATAATTTGCGAAACAAAGCATTATAAACTTACTAAAGCTTATAAGTTCTATTAGTTAATACAAGTATGTATTTCAAACATCTTAGTAAGTGTATAATCGTTGGACTTTCACAATGCAGGAAAAACTACACTAGTGAGATAAATTATTCATAATAAAATTTTTGAAATGACATTAAAAAAAGTTCTATGGTGTTATTCCGTATATTTATCATTTTTTTCATGAGGAAAAAATATTACATTCATGTATGGTTTACCTGAATCCGTGCAACGATGGGATTTAATAATAATTGATGATTTGATGCATGAACTCAGTTCAAAAACTGCAGTTTTGTTTTCAACAGAGTCTTATCATTATAATGTAAGCGTGATAATAATAATGCAATAATTTTTTTCAAAAATAGAATTATGAGAGATATAACTTTAAACACGCATTACTTGATATTATTTAAAAATAATCNATTTAAGAAAATTCAATTAAATTAATTAAAATTGAACACAATAGCATGGTCCCAATGCAGTATGGATAAGAAAATTAAGAAATCAGAATGGAAACAAACACCTGTCTGTGTTTGTTTCCATTCTGATTTTAGAAAAGATTTAATTTTTAATGTTTTAAGGAAATTTTTAAATTTTGGTGAATAAGTAGCCTCTTTTTAAAAGGTAAAGTCTGGTTATCATGGAGTGTATTCTGTAATATAAAAGTAAACAAAAAAGTGACTGTTTCAATTGAGTTTGTCTTCAATTTATAAAATTTACACAGACGTCTGTGTAAATTTTATAAATTAAAAATCTAATTATTCCAAAATTGTATAATAATTAAAATTAGAATTTACCTTTTATGGAACAACAATAATTACATAAAGGAAATATAGGAGCCAATGTTCATAAATTACAAAAATATAAAAAAATTATCAGGAAATTAAGTGAGAAACATGTTTCTATAAATACTAATAAAAATTATTTTAGTTAATCAATCGGGTGGATTCCTTCCTCTTCTACTGGCTCCGTTATTGTTTATGGCAGGTGGACTAATTGGTAATGTAATAGGAAAAAGAATCTGATAGCGAAGCAAATGGCTCTTGTCCCTCCTAAACTGTTGTCAGCATATCAAAAACCTGAAATAAGAATTGGTAATAATATCGAAGAATTACTCGAGACTGGTGATTTATCTGATAATAGTAAAGTGAAATTATTAAGTCAATTAATTTCAAGATATCAGAGAACGGTTCATGCACCAAAAGAACCTGTTAGAGTATCTGTCGTATTTGACAAAATCGAAAAAACGGAATCTCAACCTGATGAAAAAGCTGTTGATGATGTATTTATTAAACAAATAACTTTATCTGTACCACAATTATATCAAAAATATATACTACATTTAATCGATAAGTTGAATTGAAGTTATTACAAATGGAATTTTAAAGGTGAATTAACAGTCGATGGGAAACCTATTTTTGGAAGTCATATAGTATACTTAATTCCGTATGTAATGAGAAATAGGAAAACCGCATTAGTTCCTGTTGGTTTTAACGAATTTTTGAACGGTTTATAGGAAACAAACATTCCTAAAGAGTGGATTGGAAACAAAAGTTTGGCTACATAACTCGAAAACACCATCGTGTTATATATCAAACAACATCGGTCGAGACTCCTGATGAAGAAAGTAAAAAAAATAACATATGTTAGCAGTTTTTCTCCAAGACTACTCTTTCTCAATAAAAAGCAATATTGAAAGAAGCTAATCCCGATCAAATTAAAGTTTTGCGTGAAATATGTGATAATTTGAGGAGAGGAAATATAGGAGCCAATGTTCGTAAATTACAAAAATATAAAAAAATTATCAGGAAATTTACTGAAAAACATGTTCCTTTAATATATGAATGCAATATTTGTGTTGTGCGTATCGATACAAATAACAAATTAGAAATTCTTTTTTTATAACAAAATTAATTATATATTGTTTTTTTAATTTCTGATGTGTCCTGTAAAGGTTGTTCGAAAAATCAATAAGCTAATTAACTGTAGAAAATCATTAAATTTTTCAACTGGATTAAAATGAAATATTAACATGTTAATTTTTACAATTGCGCAAGTAAAGCAATTATTTAGTAAATATCACTATTAAATTTAGTGCAAGGAAAAACACGGTTAAGGCGTTACGCAGTTTCTTAACTTTCAAACGTCTGCAATTCTTTTGTATATAGCAATTCAAAAAACGTTTAATTTTTCAAATCATAAGCTATTCGTAAATGCAGTATTGATAAACCTAAATTTAATAACAAGTACTTTAAATCCATCCCGAGTGAGCATTTTTAAAGTAACAATTTAATAAGTATCGAAAAACTTTGATTAAATGTATTCTTCGATATAATTACTGTATTATATTGTTAATTTACTTTTGATTCTTTACTTTAGTACAAAGTTTTTTAACATTTGCACCGGGAACAATGTGGCAAAAATGCAAATAAAGAAAACTACAAACAAAATTCTGATAAGTAGAATTACAGATAAATTACAGTTTAGAATTAGATAAGATTAGGATTCATATTTACTTTGTCAAAATGTATTTCTACCCGTTGGTACCAAATAAATATTATTCTAATTTTATTTTNATTTATTTTATTTTTGTGTTTAAAGTGCAACAATTGATATTAAATGTATAAGAAATTACGTTGTCTGTAATAAACTAAAATTCAATGTATCGCATACATATTTTACAAAAGTCTTTTTCAATATTGTAATAAAATTGCTGAATACTGAAAACATACCGACTTTCTGACTTTAATTCTTCTTATGATAATAACGAAAAGGAAATTTAAAATCAGATAATTAACTATATTCAAAATAGAGACAATTATACAATTTGATTTTATCTGATATCTGTACTCTAAGCTACAGACATTTGTGCAGTACATTTACAGTTGATGTACAAAAATTGGAAAATATTTCTAAAACCTAATTACTAAACAAAGCTGAATGGAGTAAAGAATGGTGTAAATTTGAGCAAAGTGATTCTGATAATACACATTTTTTAATCTATATTTTTTAAGAATTTCAGTTGCTAATAGCAGTATTATTAAAATGCACGAGTGAAGTTGTTTGATTTGCAAGTATACAGGTAGGACGTTCTTTAAAGTNAAAAATGATAATTATAAAAGTTTACTAAAAGTGAAGAAAATATGCTAAACGCATATAAAATACATTACAAGTATTTTGTTATCGTTTAAGCAGTTACTTATTATTCCAGAGGATAAAGTCAGTACACAAGATTTGAATTTTTTGAGAAAATGGACCTGTGTTTTTAAGTAAGAGTGATAACTATTGCTTTCTTTTACTGGTTTCTGTTCCATTCTCTAGACACAAATTATTTTTTAATTTTCTTGATCGATCTTATTGTAAATTCAACTCGTAAGCAAAGCTGTGGTGAAATATAATATCATTTTCCGATCACTATGATGTTTTCCGATTTACTACTCTTAATGTTGTAACATTAAAAACGTACATACAAATACGTTAATTTTCACTTCCTCTTTTGATAAATGTTTTTATGATAATCGTTTGCAAACTTATCATAAAGATTCAGACTGAAAAATGTTCAGTTAAAAATATATATAAAATAAGTAAAAATTAAATAGACATTACTTTTGAAAACAATATTATAACAGTAAAAACGAAAATATAAATATATAAATAAATAACGATATTATAGGGATTAATAGACAGCTCACGAACAACGCGATAAAGTTATTGCAACACTCGCTATCGGCAACGGCGACAGATTTATTCGTTTTTTTTAATCTTTATCGTAAGTCGCATGGATCTGTCAGACCCGAAATATTTTTTTCTCAAAAATGAGCGTTGCCATTCAAAAAAAATCTAAGTTTGTTAATCTGGTTAAGAAGTGGAAAAAATATTAAGTTTTTGAAATTTTAAAAAATGTATTTAATAGAATCCGGACATCGGTAGTTGCAACTATTTTCTTAAGAAGTGAAACATTCCATAGATGCATACTGCGAATGCAGTCTGATTCAAACCATTAAGCATATAGTTCAAAATTGCCCTCGGCAATCTTTTCGATGAGACTTGCCTGATATGCACAAGTGTAATTGAAAAGAACTAAAATGGATAGACCCCATGGATATTAGACTTTGTCCTTTTCCTGTTCATTTTTGTGTTCAGTTGTTTCATTTTTTGCTGTATTGACTACCATACGTAATACACATCTATTCGGTACCGGTGGGCTATACGAATAAATGTAATAAAGAAATATAAGTTTTAAAAATATATCTGACTTCTATCAGGTAAAGTTAGTGACGGAAAATAAATTCTATTTGAAGCCAAGCAACCACCATCAAAGTGTTATCTTTTTCCGTGGATTTTTTTTTACCACAAACCCCTTAATGACTTGGCAAAATTGACATTATGACAAAAACTGGAATTTCGCCATCTCCGAAACATAAACATTGCTAAAGTATTACAAAGTTCTTTGAAAACTATTATTGCACATTCGAATAATGCATCATAATATCAACATATAAGCTTATAATAGTTTACTTACAAGTTTCAATGCACAATATGCTATGGCAAGTTTCTTTTGAAAAACAATGTCTATGTGTTATATTAATATATTGAATATACTACACTACATATTACATCGGATGTATTACACTTCAATAAAGTTAAATTATTTTATCTATAAAACTGTAAAATTTGGAACATACTGAAGATTCTGCACATTTTACATTCGGGAAAAATGAGAAATATTACTTTATTTAAATAAGATTTCTTTTTGTTATCATGAATTGTGATATTCCGGCTGCTTTTACAAATTCGATTCTATTAATTTTTTATTATGACAACAAAATTGGTACCGATAATCAATTTACAGACCAATGGGACCAAAATTGGTACAATAATCAACAATAATACGACGCAAGGGTGTCATGTAAATATTTTTTATTAAGTTAGGTTATATTA